CAAAGTTGGCTTCTCCCATGAAAGCTTATGTAGTTCTCCACCAGTTAGTCTCGAAGGTGCTCTTCCTTCTTTCCCAGCTCTTCCTTCTTTCTGCCTTACCAGCTAGGTAGCAAGGAGACGTTAGCACAATACAATTCATGTTGCAGCTACTAAATAAAATAGAGGCAAGCTCTGGAATTCTGTAGTGACTTTTAAGTTTTTGTTTTTAAAACTTAGTTTAAGCTTTGCAATGCCTAGTTATTTTATTTAAGACCTTTGAAGAGTTCAAATCCTCTATAATTGCTAGGAATGATTTATTATACTGGTTGTTTTTGTTTCATCTCTCCTCTAAAATGTTGATGTTAGTATGTCTTGCACTGACAGCATTTTAAAACTGTAATGAGTTGCCTTGACATTGTTTACCATCATAATTTGCCATAATAAGTGGTCTCTATAGATTTGAATTGACAATTTCTCCTTTCTTGGCATTGTAATGCAGTATCAGACAAGTGCTTTAAGAATATTTTATGATATTAAGGCTTCTAAGTCCTTTGAGGAACAAAAGGAATGAAAAATGGAAAAAACTGAAAAATCTTAACCACCATCAAAAAAGGTTTAAATGCCAAAAGGCCCATGTTAAATGTCAATTAGTGTTATTTTTTAAAAAAATGTATAGCTTAAAAAAGAAGACGGTTAAACCTTGGTCAAATGATTTCTTTATTCTGGAAAAGCATAACATTTCCAGGAAAAATCTGCATTCTAGTTGAAATCTTCTGTGCAAGGTTCTGCTCAAGGCCATATAAAACTGCCTATAAATTATAATATGAAATAATAATATAAAATATGTATTTTTAATGGGAATATTGTCTATCCTTTTACATTCTCTGAATCTTTACAATGCCACTAAAGCAGCAGAGGCCATGTGCACATCCTCAGGGAACTGCTGTGGTCAGGAAGTACCCTGTGGACATAAGGTATTGTGGCTGGCTTTTTGCCTCCATCCCCATATATGTGGTAATAAGAGGGACTATGCCAAGTTGAGTTCCTGAGGGACTGTTGCTGGCTGACAAATTTGATAAGTTCTGAGACTGTTTTAATACATGCCTAGGACTATGGCTACAGGCAGCCTGGACCAGCTGTGTACATCCTACTACAGCTCCCATTCTGTTCTGTTGAACACAGCAAAAAATGGAGAGCAGCACGAACTGTGGCGTTAAAAGTCAACAGGCCCTTGCAGCAGGGTCAGGACATTTGTAGTTGAATGTAAACTCATTAAGGCTCTCAGGTAAAGTTGGGAAAATTGACTCTAGGGAGTTACACTTTTTAATTGTTTTTTTTTTCTGGGGTAAGCACAAGAAAAAGCTAATATAGTCTCTGACCATAGAATCTTATGTCTTTCTGTAGCTGCACTGGCTGTATATGCTAAAAGAAACAATGAGCCCCTTTCACCCATCTATTAGATCAGTCTATGTAACTGTGCTATACAGAGCAGTCTCTGTATCACTGAAGTTTTGCATCCTATCTTCTAGCTAGGCAGTCCCAAAGTAGTTTAGTGGCTCTGGAAGGCTCCAAGTCTAACTAAACTTAGCTATACCTATTATCTCCTGTGCATGTAGGAAGTCTTAAGTTTTCCTAAATTACCTTCAACTCAGAGATGCACAGAATTCGATCTGGAATCTTTGCTGAGATTTCTCTTCCAAATCCCCATGTCTTTACTTTGAGAGGACCTCTTCAGAGGCTGATGCACTGTGTCCATTACACAGTAAAAAGCCTCTGGTTCATTACAATTCTCAAAACCTATGGAGAAAAATTTGAACAGTGTTAGTGGCTCCTTCAGTTCTGCTTTAATGCTTTATGCTGAAATGCAGGAGGCTGCTTTACAAAACCCTGTTTTGTGTTAAAACCTGATTAGGTCCATCTTGCTTATAAACGTATATGCTAGTCTATGCCCTTATGAGAGTATCAGTCAGCTTCTTGGTTCTGAGGCTTCAGGGGCATTTCTTATGAAACTTGGCCCCAGGTACTAGGTTGAGTCATGATCTTAATTAAAGCTAACTTCAAGATCACAGTGAAAAATTATCTGTGTCTTGAAATGTGAGTACTGGAATTTTTCTGTCTGGCTAGAGCTAGAGGCAGCCTTTAAATTAATCTTACATTATCAGTGATGATGGAAGCTGTGGCATTAGAAAGACTCCATAATTTTTCCTCCTTTTATTTTGGCTACCAATAAGTTTTGAGTTATAAATTCTCCAAAAAGTTCTCTTTTCACTTTTATTTCTAGTTTTGCTGGAGGAACCATCATTTCTTGAAACTTAATATGGTGTTAAAAATTTATGCAAGTTTGATTATGGCTAGGTATAAAAATTTCTCATAATAATATTCTAATTTGATATACAAGGCTGTTTCATATATCAAATTACTTTTAATTTTTATTTATTAGTTTAAACCATTATTACACATTGTAAACAGAATGACAATAACAATCAAAAAGACTATGTAAAGTTCACAGAGTTAACAGCTGTGCTGTAAAAAACACTCAGCCAGTTTTCGTCATGCTTACCACTATAACAAGATATCATCCATCAAGTAAGTAGTTTCCATCAAAGCTTAAATAGTTTCCTTGCTAAATAAAGCAGATAGAAATATCCAGTTTATCATTTTAGTACAGTCTCAGCAAAATTTTTGTCATAAGTGAATGGACTAAAATGAATGAAAGATCAGTGAGATAGCATCCTCCCAACCCCTCATTTCTGATTTTTATTTTGGTAAATTATTCCAGTCCAGATTTTGTATAAACTGTAAACATATTCTGTAGTTTAGAATTTTATATATTAAACATTTTGTGCTGGTTATGAACTGTTATTAAACCTGGCTGTTCTAAATAATGCTAAGAAGAACTGGCTAGCATTCTTCTCCTTACCAATTTAGTTAAAATCTATATTTTTTCGAGTTTTCTTGGAATTTATAAGGAAAGGGGGTTGATAAAGGTGGGTAAACTTATTATTTTAAAACTTGTAAAGACATAAGAAATTCATTGTTAAATTTGTGACTAGGCCACAATTGGTTCTTTATTATTGAGAATAACTTTAACTCTCTCATTAGTGGGTAAAACTTTATAACAGGAGTTTGATTCAGTAAAAAGGTTCCTTTCAAAGCCCTGCACTGTGCAGGAGTCATTTTTGCAGAATCAGGTTCAAATAATTTGCAGTGTTTTAGATATGGGAAAGATAGAACCAAGGGATCTAGTTTTAGTTTCATTTTTAATGTTCTATCTTATCTAGGCTCAGTACTTATCCTTGGATATAAAAAGCAATAGCAGTTTGGTAGGGCTAGGACAGAAGGCATCTTTATCAGTATCTATCAGAAATAAATTCATCCATTACAGAAGTTGTAATCCAATATGTATTTTTGTTCTATGCCAGTGATTCTCAATGTGGGTGCTGGAGCACTCTAGGTTGCCATGAGATCTTTTGAACAGTGATGCTGAGAGAAGCTTAGGCTCAGACTTGTCCCTGACTCCATTGTCTAGCCCCTCTGCAACAAGATTAACACTGTAATACATTTAGTTTTTGAAATGCGGTGCCACTCAGTTCACAAAAGTTATGTAGGGATGCCTTGAGCCTGGAGAGGTTGAGAACCACTGCTCTGTGCATAGAACTAGATTTCAGTATAAATGGAGTTGTCTGTATTAAACTTTTGCAGGTTTTATTTTGATTTTATGTTTAATGTATAGCATAGTAATTTGCATCTATTTTATGTGGCACATCCAAGGAGTTGAAAGTCATTAGAGTCATTAATTGAGCTGGTAAACTCTCTTCTTGGACCCATTACTTTCTTACCTCTTAAGTATTCAACTATTGTTATTCCTTTTTACAGGGCGCGTCTATACATGCTCATTTACTAGGGCCGTGTGAAGCTTCAGGTGCCAATTCGATTCCGAGAAGATGCGAGCACTCTAGGGTGCCATGAGATCTTTTGAAGGGTGATGCTGAGAGAAGGGTGACTCCGACAATGACTGCCCCACCCGGCCCCAGCTTCCAGTTCTTTAAAAAATAAAATAAAATCCCCGCACTCACTGGCTGCTGCAGTGGCCATCAGGGCTTCTGGGGGCTCATAGTAGAGCCCCCCCCCCATGCAGCATGGGGCAGTGGGGGGACAGCAGGGATCTCCCCCCCCCCCCCCCGGCCGCGGATGTGGGGTTTTAAAAAAAATTTTTTTTTTAAAAGAACCGGGATGCTGGGGCTGGGCAGGGCAGCCATTGGCGGGGCTGGGAGAGTGGGCAGGAGATGAGGTCTGTTTGATTTGGAGATTCAGCTGATTCAGCAGCGGCCGAATCTCCGAATCAGATTCGGTCAAATCAATTCGGGACAGTGATCCGAATCACCAAATTGAATGACTGTTTCCCAAATTGTCTGAATCCGAATCCAAAGCAAATACTAGCCACTGCGCGCAGGTCTATCATTTACTGTGCAGTAACCAAAATTACTGCACAATATGGGCACGCATCTACACATGCACACCCATACTGCACAGTAAATATGATGACTTGTGCTGACTTGAGTATAAATTTGATACCTCCACTATGCCTGATTTATGCCTGATTAGCTACTGCTCAGTAATGCATGTGTAAACATCTTATTGTGTGTGGACTGACTTGGGACTAATTTTTGTCCCAAGTCAGACCACACACAGCAATAATGTGCTTTAATGCCTGCACATGTAGATGCTGGCCTATTCCCAGTTACTGCACAGTAAATTTAAACTGGCATAAGTGCATGTGTAGACACACCCACAGTGAAGTAAATTTGGGCAAATTGCTTCAGCTACGCTTTGTAAGTTGAACATTCATTAAAGCTCTTATGAAATATAATGTTCAGCTTTTGTAAGAAGCAACATAGTAGCATATATGCATTTTCAAATACCGATTATGTAGGACAGTTCTTTTCATCAATGAAGATACATTTAGAAATCACAGTTCAGTGGTTTGTAATATATTCTGTATTTGTTTGGTTTAATTTTAGATTTATTATAGCATGTGAATATGCCACTTATTAAAGTGCCAGTGGTACAGAAGTTTGGAATACAGGCCAGTACGCAACAGGATGAACTACTAAAGAGATTTTTGAAAAAAACATTGCTGAGTTGCAATGCAAAATCTAAGTAAGTACAATTTAAATTGACTATAAGATCACTCTGTTATATACAGTAGATGTAACATAAGTTACATAAGTTTGTAAGTTTCATTTTCTCTATGATTAACTTCCTGTAGAGCGTTCCTGAGTTAAGTAATACATTGCTATCTGCATAGTCACTCAATTCTGGAAGTCAATATGACTTTAAAAATATGTAAGTCACATTCATTAATAGCAGCAAAGTGTTGGCAACCTTTGAGCAGTGGCAGGCTGAATTAAAGCAGTTGGTCTTATGCAAGCTGCCATCTGTAACCCAGTCCCCACCACTGCATACCATCCCATGCCCTAGATTTCCCGTACCACTGAATACTACCAACTCGACTCTGACCTGCTCATAGCTGGTGTGCTTCTTCTGCTACTGAAAGTCACCTAATCACCCAGATGCCAAACTGCTGCCACTGTCTTTGCTCCGTGGGGTGGTTGCATTCCCTTTGTGGGCCAGATATGGCCTGTGGGCTGTAGGTTACTGACCCCTACTACACATACATTTCAGGGAAGCTTCTTTCGGCCACCTCTTCCTCTCCCAAGTATTTGGAGATTTTTTGAATGATTGATTATAAGATCTAGAACTGACCTACTGAATGCAATATTAGCCCCTAATTTTCACATAACTTAGGTATCTAAAGCAGAACCAGTATACTTTATCATTTAGTTGAAGACACAAAATCTGATTTTCATGAGTATATTTGCAGTGCAAATGGCTGACTTCTACAAGAAACACTCCCATTAGACTATTGTGTAGGGGCCAGAGACCCAGGAAAGATCAATCACTGAAGCTCAAATGAAATTTGGTCTCAAGGATGCAGTTTGGTAACTTGAAGTGGCTTGAAATCACTTAAAACCAGATCCTTAGCTAATGTAAATGAGCATAGCTACCTTCAAAATTCTCCAAGGTCTTACTAGACTCAGAAAATAGTAGGCCTGCAATCCCTATAGGCTCTTGTTTAAGACATATTTTTTTTCCTTCTGCTGGAAACAGTCTTAGCACAATGCATAACATTTTGAAAAATACTGGGCTTGATCAAACAACCAGATTATTCTTTTCCATCTCAATTCATACTAGTTGATTCACAGTTTTTCTTTTTTCCAATGAAATTGAGTTTTCAGAAGTGTAGGGTCTCAGATGAAATATGTAAATTTAGTTTGCAGCCTAAAAGTAAACCATTTAAATGGAATATGATCATAAATAAGAGGTCTACAATAAAATACATAGTTAAACTAGAAGATATATTCACCCATTGAAAATCTTTATTTCTGTCAGATTAATTGGTCTGTTGTTCGTTCTTTTGGTCAACACATGCAAAACTTATGACGTACTGAATGATTGACAGTGACTCAAACCTTTACACAAATTTCTTGGTTGTCTTATAAAACTGATTCTTGGAAAAAGTAAAAACTGTACATTGATTGCAAGGATCTCCTTAGTGATACAGGATCAACAATGAAAAAAATCATAACTTCTTTGCCTGGGAACAAACTGACCAGCAGGCTGAGGCTACCTTCTTTTGTCTATTTACTGCTAGTTTGACAACTTATTCTGTCCATTAACTCAGGAATAGAATAAGCAATATTCCTTCAGATAAGTGCAGCACTGGTGGTACAGTAGTACCAAATTTTACTTTTTATCTGGATCTGTGTGCAAAGTATTTGGTATGGACAGATCCTCTCAGGAAAAGTACCATATTTACTTGAATACAAGATGAGGTCTTTTCCCCCAATCAGCACGGGGAAGAGAAAACCCTCATCTTATATTCACATACAAGGAAACCTCATTCTATACAGTGGGCACATCTACATGAGATGCTTAATATGCAGTAGCCTAATAACACTGTGCAGTAGCATGCCACGCAAAAACCGTGCTAATACACTGTTACACAGTAATATTAAGCTACTGCCCCATCCTTCATTCAATTTGTCCTTGTATAGGGTTGGCCTCCTAAGCCTTTCCCTTTTGGTTTTCTAAAAGAACACCATCAGTTCCTGTTGAATCCTACATGCGGTGATCCACAATGGAGGGAACATCATACCTAGATACAGTATGACTGGGAGTACCACTGCCTTAACTACATTTACCTATCCTGCTACTGACAGCTTGTGATCATACCAGCTCCTCAGTTTTTGTTTTAGCTTCCCTTTCACTTTCTCCCAAGCTACTTCACTTGTCAGTTGTGCATTCACCTCTACACCCAATATATTGATTTGGTCCACTGTGACTTGTAACCCCAGTTTTCCCATTCGTTCCATCTTCCCCACCGCTAGGTATTTGCTTTTTTGTATGTTTAGTACAAAGCTTCCCCACTCAAGCAATAGTAGACTATAATGGTTTATTAAAAGGGGATAAACACACAACCCTAAATGGAGCCTTATATATTAGGTATTGTCTAAAACAGTCCCTCTCAGACACTGCCGAATAAATGCAAGGGAGCTACTACCAAGAACAAGGGGAGATGCACCAAGGGCTGCTGTCTAGGGACCCTACTGTCTATACCAGACCAAGTGACAAGTGCTAGGTAAGGAGGCCTGCACTGGAGTTTGCTGCTCCTCTGTCTCCTCCATTGGAGTCACTGCTACTAGGAATTACTGGGCCAGAGGTCATTACTACTCCACCACTGCTGCCAGGGGTCACAACTGCTCCACCACTAAGGATCCACTGTTCCTTGTCACAGATTTGTCACTCAGGATCACTGATCCTCTTCAGGTTCCTTATGCAACCCCACTTCAGGCTCCTTATGCACTGATCCTTATGCAGGATCCTTATGCACTGATCTTTTAAGCCCTGACCTGCCCAATAGCAGGCTCAGGAGATTCAGTGCTTTTAGAAGTAGTGGGTAACAGGTTTCCACATGAGCCCACTGTAGAGAATTCTGTACAAAAAGCACTTTCGCTTTGAAGAATTGATGGCCAACTGAAATGCCATCCTGTCAGGAATCTCTCCTGTTCTTCATGCACAGTGTTTCCACTGTGTAATGGAGGACCACTTCACTGCAGACTTGTGCACAGATCACAGTGAGTGCAGACCTCGTGAGCAGTCACAAACACATTAAGGTATAGGTAACGTGTAAGTGCTGCCAGTGGGGTGGCACAACTCTGTGCTGCCGCTGCAAGTGGGAGGACACAACTCCGTACCTCTGCCGCCACTTGGTTTCAGCCAGGCAGCAGCCCTGCGCCTGTGTCCCACCATCAGTGCAGAAATCTGGGGGGAAATAAGCCCCTTCATGCTCCCCCAATGTCTCACCAATGTATTGAGCATTAATGCTATTTCTTGTCTGCACAGCTCTGACTTGTCATTAGGGCTAGGGACAGAAGTTACACGTAAACTGGTTTAAGTGATCAGAAACTGCTTTAAACCTGTAACAGAACAAAAGTTCAGTGTACTTAAGCCACTTTCAAAATGGCCAAAACTGGTCTAAAATAAACCTGAATGGATGTAGTATCAGATTAAACTGATTTAGATCAAACCTGTTTATGGAACCGGTCCCAGATCCCTTCCCAGTTCAAGTTAACTCACAGTCCCCCAGCATCCCAGGATGCTTTGTAGCCCTGGGCTGTGCTGTCTGCTCCAGCAGAGCAGGGTCTGCCCCACTCCTCTGCTCCCTAGTCAGAGCACTAGCACTCCTTTGACTGGTTGAGAGGGTGTGTGTGGGGGGGGAACCCTGCAGGAGGAGGGAGGTAGGGGAGGAGAGGGGTCTTGGCTCCACTCCCAGGAGCCTGGATCCAGGAGTAGGTCTGGAGTTCCCCAGCCACCCCCACCCCCCCAACCTCAGTCTCTGGCTGGCTAACAGAGGTGGGGAGGGCAGGGGAAGCCTGCACTTGGGCTTGGCTCCACCCCCCAAAGCTGAAACCCAGGACTGTAGCTGGAATCCCTCAGCCACACCCCCCTTCTCAGTCTGTGGCCCAGCTGGGAGATGGCAGGGAAAGCCTGCATTGGGACTTGGCTCTGCTCTCCAGAGCACTGAGTTGGGGGAAGGGGCATAATATTAGCAACTGCTGCAGTGCAGCCAAACTACCACTGTCAGCGCTTGCAGGGCAGCCACCGATGCTGCCCCATGCTGCACCATTGCCCAAGGTGCGGATGTGCCAAGTTGTGCTTCTTAGCATTATAATCTTCCAGCTGGCCTGCACACAGATTAAATCATGCAAGTCATTAGTAATATTTTGAACCTGACAGGTTTTGCTTCTGAGCTGCATACTGTTTTTTACTATTGGTAGTGCTCTGTCACTAGATTCTAATGTCTATATTTATAAAACCTTCCTTTTTGCAACAGTCAGCTATTGGTTAAAAATAGCTACATTACTTTGTCATTAAATATTCATTAAAATGAGCTGTGGCAGACTGCAAGAAGCATCTAATTAAGGAGTTCTGTTTCTATACATAAGGCTACAAATGGGCATTCTCCTTTCTTTTCAATAATGCATCATAGGCTGCAGTTAGCATCTGTAAAATAATTGATAAGGCAAAAGTTATTTGAAAATACATTCTAGAAATAGGAAAGTAGATAGAGAAGATGATTTTGCTGTGGGACCTTCCTCTGACTTTGGGAAAAGTATAGCATCCTTTGATTTCATTTTTCCACAGCCTGAGGAAAGCTACAAAGCCATATCTAATTCTATAGTATTTTCCATGTCTGATATGTATTCTGTACCACAGAATCAGATGGAAAAAACATTTTTGCTGTTATTCACCTCCCAGCTAATACAAAATTGTAATGAAGGCTTGATCCAATGAAAAGACTCAATGGGCTTTAGATCAGGCTTGTATTTCTTATTTTCTTGCCAATGCACTGATCCAGCCTAAGGGTACCGACAGACATAATAACTGTACTGATATCAAATGATAGCTATGTAAGCTGTTAAGCTGTGACTGTTACATTTACATTCTCCTATAGTGATTTAAGTGTAGCAAAACTGTTGCAACTTAGAATCTGCGGCTGCTTGTACACATGACAGGGGTTTAGTCCCCTAAATTGAAATGGTGGGTTTTTAATTGCAATGATTAAAAAGCCACCATTTCAATTTAGGGGTTTTCATTACCATTACAGTGAAGGGTCTGATCCTTTGTTTCCCCCCCTATGGAGCCTTCCCGCCTCTCCAACAGCTGAGGGGTGAGCTGCCAGTGGGCTGAGCAGCCCCTGAGCTGTGGGGGACCTCAGTCCTCCCTGCCACAGCAGCTTCTCTTCATGGCAGTGGCTTCTCCTGGGGCTGTTCAGGCATGGTGTTAGCTGTGCAGGTGCTACCCCAGCTCACAGGAAGCACCTACTGGATCCAGTTCTTCCCCAAGTCCATGCTGGGACCAGCACCTGGTGGGCTTCCAGCATGCAGACTCAGGGAAGAGTTGGATCTGGCAGGTGCTGCCTGTGAGCTGGGGTAGCACCCAGCCCAATCCAACTGTTCCCTGACCTGAAGCTGGGGCAGCACCTGCCCACTAGCAGTCCGCCTGGGTGGCCCCAGGGGGTGCCACCGCAGTGGAAGAAAGGACTAGGGCCCTCACCAGCTCAGGGGCCATTCAGCCTACCGGCAGCTCACCCCCCAGCCATGGAAGACATGGGCAGGTTTTGTGGGGGGAAAAAAAAAAGATCAGGCCCCTCACTGCTTCTGCCTTCAACCTACCTCTCCCATGGTGAGGGGATGGCTGGGAGCAAGCTGTCAAAAGCTGCAACATTACAAATAGCTACCTTGCAAACTAAACAACATGCAGATGTGGGTTAGTTTGCAATGTAGCAAACTAAACCATCATTTAAATTGTAAAAAAACCTTGCACGTGTACAGTGTGACACAGTTAAACTGCAAAACTGGCCAATATTTGTCACATATACAAGTGCCCATAAGAATAAAACTTTACCATTTTCCTTCAGTGTTAAACTTTAATAAATGATTTAGCCAACTTGTATTACTATTGGAGCAGGCAGATGTAACAGCTACAGGGTAACAGCAGATACATGCTCCAGTGTACATTGGTTAAAAATGTAGCTATTTTTAATCAATAGCAGTGCCCCCTCCCCTTTTAAAGCAGCTAAAAGGGTATATTTGTCCATAGCCTCAGATTAGTTTCCAAGGGTGTGTCTACACTACAGTTCGAGGTATGGTGGTAACCATTCCAATCTGTCAAATCTGAGTACCAATAGCAGTGAAGTTGTGGTGGTACACACTCCAGCCTGGGCTAGCTAACTGTGTGTGTACCCAGAATCAGCCTACTCTGAATCTCATGCTGCTCAGTCTTCATTGTTATAGGTACCTCAGCTAGCTAGCTCAGATTTTCCTACATGTGTACTGCAATTACACATAGTTGTAGTGCACACATACTTTAAATTATAAATAGACTCTTATATACCAGTGACCACCAGTAATAAGAAAACTGGGGAATCAGATAAGCTCTATTGATCAAGCATTCCTTGTGAGACAAGGGTTGGGGGAAAAGGTGGACTTACCATTACTCAGTCTCTGTACTTAGGATGTGGCTGGGACCAGCCTGGGATCTGCTGTAAGTTACTACAACATGAAGCATACACGTGCTTCTTTCTGGAAGATTTACATTTTAACTATTGCTTCATATACATCTCACCTCCTGCCATTGACTGATTAATTACTGCCTGCCTTAATTTATTGATGTTAGTCTTAGTTCACCACTTTGCTTGATTGCTAATGTCAAGTCCCTGTTTCTGAGCATACCTACTGATGATTATGAAGAACCACTGTACCGTGTACAAGCTCAGCCTAAATTTTGTGGTACACTGGTGCAGCAGACTGGAGCTTGTATGGCAAATCTCCCTTAAATTAAAAAATGTAGGCTTTAATTGAATTAAACACAAAAAGAGTACTGCAACCAATACAGTCTTTCTTGTGTCATTTAATCAGAGATTAAATGGTAGTCTCTTTGGCTGTCCTTAAAATATTTAGTGTGATGCAGAACTTTGTATTGACAAAGCTGTCAAGGAAGGAAGCCTGCAGTTGTGGCAGCTTGGCACAGAACATCTGCAGTTTTGGAACTTTGCAAGGCATAGAAGCGCAGTCTGAGGACATGTCTACACAACTGGGATTGCAGTTTACTGTACACATACACAAACTAGCTTTAACAAATCAGGTAGTTTAGGTACTAATAGCAGGACAGAGCTCAGTACAGGCTAATTTACCCAGGTTCTTGGAGAGTCTGCACTGATCTGTGCTGCCATATCCAGGTTTCTGTCAGTGCCTGAGCTAGATACTCTGTTAAGATTTGGGGTATGTCTTCAGACCCAAGCTAGTTTTGGATTATCTTGGGAAGCAATAACATACCTATCTTTGACTTAATTTTAAAAATTCACTTTATAAAAGGAAGTGAAAAAATTCTTTTTTGGAAACTTTTTCACTCAGTATTTTGAACTTCAGGAAGAGAAAATGAAACTACAATAATTGTTTGGATATTTCTTTAGATACCCTTTAGAAGTCACAGAAGAGTTTGTTCAGAAGTTCAATCATGCAAAAAGTCCAAAGGATAAAGAATCTTTACTAGAAAGAGCCAAGAAAATGCTAGCCAGATGTAAGGTCAGTATACAAATAACACTCTGTAATGTGTATATACTATATACATTGTATTCTAAATCATTAATTTCTTTTGTCATTTTTCATTTCCATCAATATATCTGTTATCATAAACCAGAAGTAGCAAAAAAAGTTTAAAGCTTTCAGTTTTTTTTAAATATTGAGACTATAAAGTTTACAATGAAAAGGAAACCGCAAAGTTAGGCACATAGCACTTAAAGTATGTGAACAGTCCCACTGATGTTTTATTACTTTTTTTCTTTTCGAACAAATATGGTTGTTGTGTATTGGGAAAAAATCTTTTTCTACCAGACATTCTTCATTCAGAGCTCCCTATTTCAAAGGCTATCCAAGCACAGTATTTACTAGTGGCTTCATTCAAGTTCAAGTTAAGTCAATGGATAGACTCCTCTTTACTTGAATGCACCCAGTCTCCTCTATGAGACTGAAAAGGGGGTTTATCAGGGAGAAAAAGTTATGGCTTCCTGATTTTGTGTTGGGTCCTAACAGTGTTGAACAATTGTTTTACTTCAGTAGAATTATGCCAGTTTTTACACTTCTGAAGATCTGGCCCTATAAATGGTGTTTTTGGACTGCTCCAATGACTGCTTTAGAAAGAAAATGAATAGTGAAATTCTCAACAGAAATTAGCATTACCAGAACCTCTCCTCTTCAGAGAGAAAAGCTATTGAGTCCCTAAGATTCAGCAACCAAATACTAATAAACTCATGGGCAGTAAGCAAAGAAGGACCTTCTCAATTGTCATGCCTGTATCAGTGAAACTAACAGACAACTTTGATGCCAATCACTATAAAGAACTTGGGGAGAACCTCATGCCAACATTTACCCTTGAACTCAAAAAACATCAAATCCTTTCTGGACCAGCTTCAGAAAAAAACCATATACATTAATCTCCACCTCTCCCACCCCAGAGATATTTGACGTGCTTCCAAAGCTGCACAAACAAGGTAACTCTGGCAGACCTGTCATATCAAGCTGTTAGCTTCACTGAAGAACTACCAAGATTCATAGAGACTATCCTTAAACCACTTGTCACTCAAAGAACAAGTTTTTTGCAAGACATGATAGATTTTCTTGACAAGATCCAGAACACCGAGGCCAGTATTTGCAATCTTGGATATCACCAGCCTATACTCTAATATCCCAGACAAATAACATGCACCATAAAGGCACAGCTGCCTGCCTGAAATACCTGCAAGAGTATGGACTACACTGAGATTTACAACTGCAACATATCGTACAAATCATCCACTTCATTCTCACCCACAGCAGCTTCACGTTCAGCAACCTCTGTTCCTCCTAACAATGGGCACAGCTCTGGGCACAAAGATGGCTCCCCTAATATGCCAATCTCTTCATGAGCCATTTTTAAGAAAAAAAAATGGAAAACTGCACCATCAAACATGCATAGTACTCATGTTATGTAGATGATATTATCATCACTTGGACTCACTGATTTCTATCAGAGCTTCAGCAACTACCACCCCTGGATCAAATTCTCTCTAAAATACTTCTGAACTATCATCAGCTTTCTAGATACCAACAATCCATATCCAGAATGGCACACTGCAAACCACTATGTACAAAAAACCCACAGACCAGAACACTTACGTCTACAAAATCAACAGTCATCCCAAACTCACCAAAAAAGCTTCACTATATAGCCAGGCCCTCAGATACCATTACATCTGCTCTGAAAAGAATATTTGTGACATCCACTTCACCAACCGAAAAACTGGCTTTACTTAGAAAGGATACTTCAGCAGATAAATAGACTGCATCTGGGGAAAAAAACCCAAATAACCCTCACTAACTTTTTACAATGCAGAAAGAGAACCTCCACTGACCACACACCTCTGCTTGTCATGTACGTCCTACACTGAAACTTAAAAGAAGGATCAATAAACAGTTACAGCTTATACTCAGAAAGGAGCAAACTTTGATGGAAATATTCCCAACCCCTTTGCTCCCAACTTTCAAATAATCTCCAAACCTTGCTCAACTGATCATCAGCAGAAACTCCCTGCTGGTCAACAAACACATAGTAGTACATAATCCTGCCTGTAAACACATCTTCACTGCCACCCTAACCAATGCTCCTCATAACAAAAGCATCAGAATCTACAACTCCTACACATTTATCATAGAATAATATGGTATACTTCATCTTATGCACTAAATGCCTCACAGGAACTATGTGCATGAAACTAAATAACAAATATGCTCCCAAATAAACAATCACAGAAAAAAGATAAAAGACAGAGACATCAAATCACTAGTAGGACAAAACGTCACAGAACAGTCAATTGATTTCTGACTTCATAGTCCTTATACTCAAGGACAATCTACAAAATACCTTCAGAAGATGGGTCTGGGAAGAAAACTTTCATAGCTTTACTGGATGCTAATACCTTGGACTAAATGTAAGTGATGGTTTCATGATTTATAATAATCTAACTAGTGTGTCTTTCAGCCCTTCAGTATTCCACAGGTAATAACTGTCTTTTTCTGTTCTGAATGGTCTTGTTCTTTTACATAATTAGATTATCTATTCAACTAAGTTTCTGTTGCTTCATAGTTACTCCTGATAACTTCTCTTTGCTCCCAGTTTACAGATCTCTTCCACACCCTTAACTGTCTTTTTTCTTTTTCCCATGAGGCACTTGTGCCTGAAAGATTGTCTAACATCTCTCCCAACTATGTAGTTGGTCCAATAAAACATATCACCAAAAATCTTGCTTCTTACTTAATGAGACATAGTGCTTCCACCGTATATAGATACTGGTGTTTCTGATTCTGTTAATCCCATTTAGGATGACTTTTTATATATTAAGAGAGGAGCACCTTAGGGACAAGGTTATAGAATTATAGCAGAATAGGTCTGGAAAGGACCTCATGAGATTATCTAGTCCATCTCCATGCCCAAGGCAGGATCATCCCTATCTAAACCATCCTAGACAAGTGTACGCCTAACCTATTGAAAATGCACAAATAACACTCTTGCACAGCTACCAGGCACAATGCACCCCCTCCCCCCAAACACCAAGAACACTTTAACCTCTACAAGTAAACCACGGGGATGAGGGCACTGTCAGTATCCTGCCACTGCAAGAACAGAAGTAGTTTATTAAAATATGCTCGAGAGATCCAAGGAAGAGGACCAAGTCCTCTGCTGCCAAATGCAAAGACTCTCACAATCCATGCTGATCTGACCATAGGGTAAAATTATTTTGATCCCAGATGTGGTGAATACTTTGACCTTGAGTGGAGGAGCAAGACCAGGAACCTCCAGACTTTTTAGTCTGAGCAGGAGCATTGGCACGCCTCACTCAAAATCTGCAGTGTTGGCTGCAGCCAACACACAGTGCTTCTGAGGAAGGTGAATCACCTTCCCCCTGGTATCTTTAGCAATGAGAGTGGAAAAAAAAGCCTTCCCATCTTTATATAGTAACCAGCAAAGCCCAGAAACCTGTGAATTAAAAATGGGGAAAATCTAACACCCTTCATTCTGCACTACAACTTGGGGACTGCAAACAGAAATCCTAAACATGGCACCCCTTAACTGGAGAACCAGAACTCCACTCTGTCATCCAGTCCCCTTCATAAATTTATTCCAAAGCTGGTTGTAGAGTTCTGTTTCCTTATCCTGCTGCTGGCCATGATCCTTTCCAATTTCCACCTGTTCTGGGCTGCAGAGCTTTCTGTGATTTCTAAGCAATGCCTATGTCAGGGTGTCCTGGGCTTCCTATTGTTGATCTTCACAGCACACTCCAGGTATTGCTATTCTTAGATCATCCCTATTCAATGTTTATCCAAGCTTTTCTTGAAAATCCTCAGTGGAGGAGATCTGACAGCTTCCTAGGCAGTCTATTCGACTGCCTCACTGTTCTCACATTAAAGAAGTTTTTCCCAATGCCCATGCAAACCCACTTTGTGGCACATTCAGGTCATTCTACAAGTCCTACTCTGCAGTGATAGAGGAAAGATGTTGACCCTTTTCTTCAGCTGTTTGAAGACTGCTATCTTGTCCCCTTTAAATTGCTTTTTTCCGCAAGTTAAACATGCCTGTTTTATTCCACCATTTCTCATATGGCTTATCTTCCACGTCTTTTCTAATTTTTGGCACCTTTCTTTGGACCCTTTGTGACTTCTTTTTAAAATGTTGAACCCCAAACTGCACACAATACCATGGGTGATGCATAGGGGAGCATGGGGAAGGCATGTGCCCCCCGCAACAGGGCTGTCTCCATTGCCACCGCCGCCACCTGTGGACGCGCGCCAGCTCCGTCCCCACTGCCAACACCACTGGAAGCTTTTGCAGGTGCCCCCCCAGACTAGGAGGCACCAGTTGCCCATGCACGATTGTCTAGATAAGGCCTAACCAGCGCCAAATAAAGTGGCATTATCACCTCCCATGTCTTACGCCTTGCAGTCATGCTGAAGCAGCCCACAACTCCATTCTACTTTTTACAGCTTCATCACATTGCAGACTCATGTTGAGTCTATGATTCACCAAGACCCCTAGAGCAAGGCACCTCAAACTGTGGACATATAAATGAAATTGGAGAAAACATTGGCTATATACTCCTAAACAGTATGTGGACGTTTGGGACTTCTTTCCCCATGGAACTGTCCACATGGCTCGGACAGCGAGCTCTTCAGGAACGTGATACCATTAGCAGGCAAGAGGGGATTTAAAGGATTTGGGATTAGAACCACTGCCCTTTTTCTAACACGAGAGTCAAATAATGGGAAGGTTATCCTGCCAAGCTGCAAGCAGATTTTTACTATATTTTTTTTCCTCACAGACTCTTTCATGTCTTAGGGCTTTTCTGTAGTCACCACATAGTGCTAAATTTCTTTCCAAGGAAACTGAGAGAGAAAGTCTGCAAAAACAACAAGCCCTGTCAGCTCAATGTCATTCTTCAACCTGAATCTAGCCTGCATTAATGCAACCACTGTTAAGCAGAAATATGTTTTCAAATGATTTATCTTTCTTATGGTACACATCATATACTATTATTTTGGAGTCTGCAAACTCCAGTTCCTTTTTTAAAAACAAAGCTAAGAGTTTTGTTGGAAGAAAGGACTGTGGTAGATGATAGGAGCAACAGGAAAGTACAAGTTAAACTGGATAATTAATATCTATGCTCTCACATTTTCCTTATCACCAGTATTGTAATATGATATCAAGTTAATCAATACAGGGGCTTGCATATAGTTCATCTGTTGCCTGAGTGCCTTAGGTCTTGCTCTTAGTGCTAACTTAATGCTTGAAAAAATAAAACTGGAGAATTTATAGAATATTTTACTAGTTTATAATTGAATAAACTTATTTTAAGGTTCTACAAGAGAACTTTTCACAATGTTGTGAAGTGTTGTTTAGCTGGAATGCTGCTCTAATGTGGTTTTATATTTCATTTTGTTCTGGCCATTTAAATGTTTGCAACTGTTTTGAAAGGATAAAACAGTAAACACAGCATTTAGAGACCCCTAAATGATTCCTTGTGGGCTTACAAAGCCAAAAATAGATAATGTGTAGGAACAGAGTGGTCATTCATATTGAAAATACATTAAAAAAGCAATATACTTGCCATTTAATAAACCCTAAAGAGAAGGCTGTGGTGCTTATACAATCTCTGCAACTATCCAAATGAAAAATGTATACATTATGAAGCACACTGAGGGCCTTATTTGCAAATCCTGCGTTTTATTTTGAGAGTTATCTTTTTTTCCCCTCCCTATGGATCTCGTTGGCAGCGAAGGTGCATTGACTAACAGCATTCAATAAAACCCTTTTCAGAATTGGCAACCTTGCTGAGGGAATTTTGTGATGTTTGGCTGATTTCACACTTGAGCATAGGTATGCTTTTTGACTAAATTATTGCTGGATTTTTTTCAGTGCTGCAAGAATGCTTGACATTGCATCCAGTAATAAAGCAGCAGCCTCTTTCAGCATTGGTGAACAGGAATTTAGAGTTGGAAAACTGCCTCAGCATACTACATTTATCGATGCTGTTAATTCTGTCAGCGTTGGTGTCCAAAGATGTTGCCTTCCCATCCTATGCTGACTGTGCCAATGCAAAATCTGGGATGAGATGAGATGAGAAGGGTTTATTTTACTGTCCACTATGGAATTCTTAATGCAAAAAGCCAGTTAATATTCCCAGTTGCAACCAATTGCTGAAACATAGATGGGAATACAAATGAAAGAATATCCAAATAAAATGTATTTCCATTGTACTTACCAAAAGCCAAGTGTATGAAAAATATTATGAAAATCAGAGGTAATGTACCTTATGTGTTCCTTGTTTAATCACAAGTACTAAGCAGATAATAGCCTACATTTTGGCTGCAAAACCCTCCATAAATAGGGCACCCATTGGACTGGAAAGAGTAGGAATTGCTAAAAGCTAAAGTTTCAGGGATGTGTATTGTCATGACAACATATTTTCACAGTCTCCAACAATTTTGATCCCTCTGAGCTTGTAATAAGGGTACTTTTCTATTAACTTAGCTGGAGCCACTACTGTGATTCAGAGATAGTAATTAATTGTTATTGTTGTAAGATATTAAAATGGATAATAATTCTATAATTAGAGTTATGCAGCCCTATTCTTATCTAAATGTTAACCCCAGGGATTAAGTGTTGCTACCTCATTAGTTCCTGCTATTGTACTTTGCATCAGTAAACTCTTACTAATGTTGTTTTTAAAATATGCACTTTTATTTTAAATATTTTGGCTTAAGAAAAGTTTCACTGTATATTTAATAGACCACCCCCTCAACCAACACAACTCACCTTTTGATTTTTCTTTTGACTCTCACTCTTCCTTTAAAACAGAGAAGATTAGGAATTAATGTGTTAAGTTCTGGAAAACATGTGGATCTTATGAGAGGCTGGACTGAAGCACTTATATTGGTGCACTGCAGTGGTGAAATCCAAGAAGGTAAAATGTTCTTAACTATATTTCTTTTAATTACTTCATGCTCTTTCTGACCCAGCTGCGAAAGCAAAATTTAATTACTCCCAGCTATGAAAACTTGAAAGAAAGCCAAGATGAAGTAGGCTTTATGTCTTACCTGCATAAAGAAACTTTACAAAAATATACTAATATTATCACTGTAGTATTTACACACAATGTTTCAAAACCTTCTATTTCTATGCTTAATTTCCTAAATTGCAAAATTATTTTCATATAAGCACCGCTCATTTTTTTTATTTCCTTTCTCATGGTATTACCTTGTAACCTGTCTCTGAAATCAGTTATTAATTAAGAGTAATTTAAAAAGTCATTTAATGATCTCAGAGTGCTTTAAATAACTTATTTTATACTTTTTCTTTAAGTATTCCCACTAATAAAACTGGAGAATATTAGCTTGGTTCTCCAGATATTTGAAATAAAATGTTATCTCTACACTTTTTCAAACTAAAAATATCATAATCACAGTAGCCCCTGTTTTGTAGAATGAAATAGTGATACACAGAGATACTCACGGATACGCTGATTTATTTTCACTATTTTACTGGCATATAGAATCTTAGCTAGAATAAGATTTATGTTAATAATGTCCTGGCAGATAAGTTAAAAGAAATAGTTGTCATATGTACCTTAGGTTTTTTGGTTAGGTTGAAGAGAAAGCGCAATAATAGAATGGCTAAAGAAAAGATCATTCAGCCCTGCATATATGAAACAGAAATGATGGATGAGCGTATATGTAACAGCTATGATCTACAGTTCGCACAGCAGAGATGTAGGACAAAGCAAAGTCACTCCATTTCTGTTTTATACTTTGTGCAATCTTAGTATTTTGTATGGGGTCATTCCAAAGGTAAAATGGGACTTTACATAAGCCTGCCTCTAGAACAGGGGTGGGCAATTATTTCTGCTGGAGGGCCACTTCCATCTCCATTGCTCTTTCTGTTACCCGCTCCTTCTCTCCCTCTTCTCCCTCTCTCTGTCTCCCTCTCCTCTCTCTCTCCCCCTCCTTCCATCGCTCCCTCCCCACTCTCTTCCTCCAGAACTCGACTGGAGCTGTAGTTTATCAGGAGCCTTGAAGCTCAACCATGGACTCAAATGGGGACTTCCACCGCAGCAGGAGCGCAGTGGTGCCAGTTGTGGGTGCAGCCAGGAGGTTCCCAAGCCCTGACATGGAACCTGCCAGCAGCATCATAGGTGATGATGCCAGCCACCCGGTGCAGCAGCACCTCTCGCCTGGGTCCACAGCTAACGCCGCTGGCAGGCTTAGGGTTGGGGCTCTGGGCGGGAGCTTCCACTGTACTGGGAGGATGGTGGTGTCAGCTGTGGACACCGCTGGTAGGTTCTGTGTTGGGACTCCTGAACCTGGCGGCGGTGTCCACAGCTGCTGCTGCTGCCCATCTGCTGTGGCAGAAGCCCCGCTCAGGTCCACAGCGAATGTCCCCACATCAAGGGCTGATGGTGCTAGGTGGAAGCAGTCCCACCTACCTGCCTGGCACCATGTGGCAGCTGGAGCTCCCAGCTCCCCACACATCAGATCCAATGAGCTGGCAGCTGTCCACCTGTGGGCCAGATCGAATCTGTTGGCAGGCTGGATGCAGCCTACAGGCCATATTTTGCCCACCCCTGCTTTAGAATGATACTGTGTATCATGAGCCTGGGATATCATGGGGGAATATTCTCTACATTTACCAAGTTACCAGATCATTATTGCAAGGTCTTCACTTCTAGTTCAGTTTTTCATGGCATTTTGAGCAACTGTTTGGATAAAATGAAAAAGGAAATCTGTAAAGGAAAAAGAAAATTCTACATCATGACTGAAAGCAATATCCAGGGTACTATAAAAGTTTTTTGTTGCTTTTATCAGCTGGGTATTCTATGGGGTTTGTGCAATCAAGAGAAATACTCTGCAGGAGGAAAAGACACATCAAAACAGATTGTTGTGCAGAGAATTTTGTGTTCCTCTTGTTTACTGATAGCAAGATGACTGCTACATTATTTCTCTTATAACTGGCAGGGTTTGACTAAAGATATTGACATCTAAGGCACAGAACTGGAGAGTGAACTTTTTCCATGTTCGTTCAGCTCTAAAAATCCTGTATTTTATGATGACTTTGCTGTCTTCAGTTACACACTTGCTTGCACCCCATTTACACCTTGATGTAAATTAAAGTTAAGTGAGGCAAGCCAATGATCCGTATGTTTCTGTATGCTTTGAAAAAGATGACCTCTGCCAGAAACAGGAAGTTTGAGAAGGAAGTGTTAAATCAAATAGCTAATCTGGAAAATAAGGTTGATAGATGTAAAATTTAGGGAAGAGAAACAGAGGAAGGGATCTCAGCTGAAGAGAGGTTATATTGTCACTACAAATAACTGGTGACTTGGAATACAAGCTGGAGATGAAAACTATCAACGTTCTAGTACTGTGCATGGTACTTACAAACTTTCTGGCTGGTCTGATGATCTGAAACAGGTTTGTATAACTTTGAAGGTCTACCTTCAAAACACTTGTAGAGGGGAAGGAGTGCTATTGGAAAAATATGGAAACCTTTTTCCAGATGCATAACTAATGATTTTTGCACCCTAGACAGAGATGACAGAGAGCAGAGGGGAGGGGAGGAAGGCGTGCTGGAGGAATCAGGGAGATTGTGTCAAGTGCCAGAAAATAGGGGGCAGGGGGCACTGAGCTGCTTCAGGCTCCCCACACACAGGCCTCTAAATAAGTGCTTAAAGCTGGTACCCTGCTTGCCCTATTGCCTTTTTTTTCCTGTTAGGCCAACTGGCCAGCCTCTTTTAACTCAAATTATTCCTCAAACATACTAATTAAGATCAGTCTACCATCTGCAAGCAAATAAGTACTGAATTATTTAAAAAGTAATAATACAGTAGCTGCACCACTTAATAATAAATACGTACACTGGTCAAGAGATAAATTACATGTCTGAATTGTTTTGTCTGTCTGTTTAGGCCATAATCCTGCAACACAATCTGTAAGCATACAGTTTTATGCCCTCAAGGAATACCTTGAGGCAGGGAACTGTTTCATCCATGTACAAGCCTCCATTTATCATTCAATAAATAACAGCAAAAGTATACCATTTTTACTGATTGCAAAGAGAAAAGGCTTTGACATAATAAAACAAAAGATATATCTTCTTCAGTGTTTTGGAGAAGAGAAATACTTTTTTAAAAGTCCTGGGAGCTAGGAAGGAGCAAGGATGCATAGGCAATTATAAACTCTTTTGGCCAAGGACTGTAATTTACTAAATATTTGTACTGTTCTAGCAAAATGGGTTCTCAACCTAGCTGAGACCTTTGGGAACTACTGCATTATAAATAATAACAACACACCTATATTTTTCGATGAGTGAAGGAGGCTGAAAAATTTATTAGGACTAAGATTGATTCTTTCATCATATAACATATGGATGATCAACATGGAGAAAGGGAGCACTGAACTCAGAAGATTTGTGTGGGACTGTGATTTCACTCATCCGAGCAGGATTTGTGGTATTTTGTTTTTCATTCTACAGACTTTAGAGGTTGACTTAAATTGTGTTAAAACAAGAATGAGGTACAATGACAGGAAAATTCGGAGAAATTTGCATAGTGATTGCTTGGCTAAATTTTGCCAATGGGATCTATAAATCTGTCACTTTAAAGAACACAAGATTCACACAAATCTTTAACCAAAATTGAGAAAAGCCATTATTTAATAACAGAAATAGTTGAAAGACCAATTTAACAACCTTTTCAACCATAAAAAGCAATCCTGCCTTTTCAGCCATAATTTTGTATGGGCCATTTCATTGACATAGCAAAAAAGATCAGCACATCTAGCAAAAATTGATACTATACAAACTTTTTAAAAATATGTCGTTCTTTCAAGAAATAACTTGCATTATTACACTTTTTCAGTACCCAGTTTAATATTATTCTTTCAGTTTTAGAATTTTTCAGTAACTGATGAATACAGATTATCAGAGAGGTTTCAATTGTTCTGGAGTACAAACTTAAAAAAACCTCAAGTAAACTTTGCTGTCTTATTTTTGTTCATAATTAAGCAAGTGCTTGATTCTTGTGGAAACTGAATGAATACAGTGTATGAGGTATAAATCATGGGCCTTTTAGCACTGAGCATGATTGAAATAATTCTCCATTTTGTTTCTGCTTTAGAGGCTTTGGATCTCCTTTTAGTTTCTTTAGACCAAGCTCCAATAGATCTGGAACATATCCCTGTTTTACTTTCTGTCGCTGAATCCATTTTATTCCGTCTCTCTCTTGATGTGGCATGGGAACCTTACTTATACTCAACGGAAGTCAAGTTCTCAAAGGTTACAGTACTTTTAAAAATCTTTAAGATTTCTTGTTATATGTGTATTTTATATAACTGTATCCTAGTTGTACTATATTGATGACATGAAATCTATTAAATAACTGGATTTACATAAATATAAATGAAAACAGAATGTGATCCAATTTGTCACATGACTTTAAAGTTTTAGTATTTTATAGTTTTGTTTGATGCAGGCTTGTGCTATAATTTGCTTTAATCTTAATTTTTCTCTATCTCTGAATACCCAATATCTCTGAGAAGTTACAAAAAGACATTAGGAAAATACAATTTAATCTTTCACAGAGTATTTAATGAGGCACTATAAAATGCATATGAAAGTCTCTATGTTTTTATCCATAATGCATAATGTTAACTTGGATTTCTTCATAATTTCAGTGACAGTCTTGCATAATGTGTGGCTCTCTTGCTAAATTATGTGAACTCTTTATTCTCCCATCTGGACTATCATTAAATGAGATACAATATGTCAAGTTATACAGTCTTAATGCAGCAGCAAGAGAGTTATGAATTTAAGAAAAAGGATGATATTGAGGTAATACAAATGTGAATGATCTAAATGGATCAAATCTCTTCTCAAAGCTAAGCAAGTAAATCTAAACTGTGTAGCAGAAGACTCACTGGGCATGTCTACACAAGATGCTTAACTGTGCAGTAGCATAGTTTAGTGTGCAGTAAGCGCATGTATCTATGTGTGTGCACCCTTACTGCGCAGTAAAAATCCCTAATTGTGAGTAAATTTGGTACCTGTATTTGCCTGCATATTGCTCTCGATCCAGCATCACCCAGTCCCCCAACTTGGGCTCAGGTTTGCCACTTGCCACGGCTCTATGCGGGCATAGAGCCAGAGCTGCCTGCAGGGAGGCCAAGACTACATTATGGCCCTGCTGGCCCTGAACACCACCTGCCAGAGGGGGAGTACTGGTCACTGTAACTCCTGAGCAAGCCTCCTGCCCACCATACTTGCCACAGAGTGCACATCCACAGGGGAATGGCCAGAGGCTGGAATGCTGGCCACTTGTCCCCAGGCTCTATCCCCTAGTTCCCCCATCCCACAGCCCACCACCCCAGGATGGCACACAAAGGACATTGTACATAGTTTTCACAGGGAAGAAGGTTGTTTATTGTTGGTGGATGATGTGGATGGTGAAGGGGCTTTGTTTGTTGAGTGGGGGGCTCTGGTTGATGTGAGGGGAATAAAAACTTGTTCTTCTGAGATGCGTCTGCAGTAAGCATGGTACTGAGGTTGGGAAGAGGGAACGGTCTGTGGGTGGCAGTGCAGGCGGTCTACAGTGGGGTGTGCTGGAGGAGATGGTCAGCTACTGCCTCCTGCACCCCGTGCCCTGGCCCCCATTGGTGGGTGTGTGGCTCTTCTGGGGCTTTGGTGGGGGAGGCACTGCTGCTGCTGCACACCGCTGCCAGGCGTCCTCCACGTGCCATGCCTCCTTTGCCCAGGCCTTGTGGAAGAGCTCCCCCTGGGGCTCATGAATGTTTTGCAGCATGTAGGCTGTGATGATGACCTGAGGGAGGTTGTTTCTCTGCAATGATGACCCAAGGGAGGTGAACTCAAGGTGGGTAGTGAGGGTGCACTAGCAGACCTTGAGGTGCCTAAAGGTGCACTCCACCAGGGTGTGGATCTGGCCCGGGCAGTGGTTAAAGTGGGCCTGGCAGGGGTCCAGCTGTCCAGTGTAGGGCTGCATAATCCAGGACAGGAGTTGGTAGCCAGCATCCTCAATGAGGAGGGGCACAACTACCACATCACCCAGCTGCAGGTCTGGCACCCCGGCACAAAGCTCCCACTCTCTACTAGGCCTGGCAAGCTAGAGTTTTGGAACATGTGAGCATTGTGGGTGCTTCCTGCCCAGCTGGCACTTACACGCGTGAAGGCACCATAGCGGTCTATGATGGCCTGGAGCACCATGGAGTGAAAGCCTTCCAGCTGTAATAGGTGCAGTCTCCATGAGGCGGGTAGGTGATGGGGATGTGGGTCCCATCAAAGGCCCTGATGCATGGGGGAATCCCAGGGCATGGAACTCTACAACCACTACCAGGGGGTCATGCACGTGGAGCACAGTGTTCCCCAGTACTTCCTGGAGGACGCTGTATACCTCCAGGACAGCCTCCCGGCAGTGGCCTTCCCACGCCAAAGAGGTGTCTGAAATATCACAGGCTGGTGGGTGTGACCAGGTTTAGCAAGGTGAGGACCAGCCAGGTGTCCATGGGGAGGAGCCCATCATTGGCATCCCTGGTGGGGTCCAGCCAGGCAGAAGGGATTGAGGTGGCAGGTGTACAATGGCAGCCCTAGGACAGCATGCAGCAGATGGGAGGGTGGTTGCTGAGTGTGTGGAAGCCAGGAGGGGCAAGAGGGCTGTGGGTCAGGCAGCGGTCAGCATGGTGGGCCAGCAGGGCCAGTGCAGTGGCCAGCAGGACTGTGGGGCACTGGTTGTCACTGCCAGGGGTAGGGGTAGGGGCAGGGGCAGGGGCAGCCAGGAGAGTCAGAGGTGGTGAAGAGAGTGCTGCCACATGCTATCCCTATGTTGCACGTGCTGCTTCTGGCCAGAGAAGTGGCTGGCCAGAGACCAGTGAGCAAGGTGGGCTTTGGAAGAGGGCTGCTGACTGCTGGCAGCTGCAGCTGTAGCCTGGAGCTCCCCCCGGTGGCAGCAGGGGCCCATTCCAGGGCCCTGGGAAGTGGGAGCAGATTGGCAGCAAATCTGCTCCTGCTTCCCTGAATGTGTAGACACCTGCTTGGCACCGTTAACTTGCAAATAATTTACTTGTGAGTAAACTGGTGCTGTAGCAAATGCATGTGTAGATGCGCACACCTTGTACTATTTAATAATCCAATGTTGAACTTAATGATCATATCTCTTTTCTGCTTCTTCTGAGCAATCATTCCCAAACATAACTGAGAAGGAAACTCAGCTTTTTACAAAAAGAGAAGGATCTCAGTTAAGGCTTGGACAGACATTCAGTTGCTCCAGGGAGAGTCCCTGCTCTCTCAGGAGAAACCACGAGTATACAGAAGTTCATAATTTTTCTCCCAGAGTAAAAGTTGCCACTCAGGAAGAAAAATAACATGGGAATGAGTACTCCCCAGAGAATATCTATCAGGAGGCAGAACTTCTGTACAGGCAGCAGATGTAGATCCAATCTCTACAATCTGAGAGTGCTTTACTTCTCCTCTCTCTCCTCTCCCACAGGAGTGCTTCTGTAGCAGGATGGCACCCGAAGGCAGCTGGGATGCCCCCAAGTGACTACCTTAGTCCTGTATGGCTCCTGCTTCAGCCTCTCAGGGTCATACCCTGCATCGCCACCTTGTCATGCCTTGGCGTTAAAGGTAATGAGGAGAGGTTTCCCTCAGAGGCTGGTGAGCCCAGGTTACTTTCTCTCAGTGTTCAGTTCTTCTCTTCAGCCCAATTTGACGCATCTGACTTGGTGCTCAGAGCCTGGCACACAAAGTTCCTCTCACTCTTCCTTTTGGCCTAGGGCTCCTTGGGCCCTAATTCTCTTATGAGCTGAATTTGTGGCATCCTTTTGCTCCTACCACCATGTCCATGCCTCACAGGTGTTACTCTGTCCACAGTTTTGCCTTCCTGTAGGGGCCTCAGCCCTCCTGGCTTTAGCCCCCTATGGCAGGTCTGGGCTTGAGTGGCATGGTAGCATGCTCTTTTGACTCCATGAGCTCTTTCTCTTCTGGGTGCTTGGGTCCCTCCCTTTTGCTTATCTGCCATGCCTTGATGTTACTTGGGAAACACTGTTGGGAGGCTGCCCAGGGGCCAGCAAGAGTCACATCTATTGTCTGTCCATTCCCTAATAGTGCTTCTGGGCACCAGTTGCCTTAATGGCTGTGTCTGTGTCCTCCAGCCTCCCTTATAGCCATGCATATGCCTCACAGTTGTTACCAGCCATTACCACAGCAGAGCTCTTTGCCCTACTCACTGTTTTTCTTTTTGATACTCAGCAACTTTGTGGGAGCCTTGGCCTTCCCAGCCTTGGCTCCTTTCATCTAGCTGGTTTATCTTTCCTTCAGCCCACTGTCTGAGGAACCTGGCTTCCAGACCCAGCCCTGGTATCTGGCCATCTTGAGCTCTGGTCTTAGCCTTTCCAGCTCTAGACTGCTTCAACTGTATTTCTTGTCCAGGCCTTGGCCCTCTTGGCTGTATCCTGCTTAAGTCATGAGCCCCAGCCCCTGGCAGGGCTTACAATACTCTTGTGCCTCTTGGACACCCCTTTGACCTCCTCCTCCCCTTATAGTCACTTCTGATCAACTGGTTAGCTTAAAGAGAAGAAGTCTATCTACTTAACCCAAACCTTCCCTGCTCAGGCTGGAAAAATGCCATGAAAGAAAAAGGTGTGCTGCCCCTTTAACAAACCCCCATTCCTTTTCAGGGTAAACTAACATAAAGAACAGGCAGGAAATAAGTCTAATTCATACAGCCCTGTTCTGGATAAAAGCACATAAAGAAAGGGCAAACTATCACTCTCCCTATACGAGTTCCTCTCCTTGGGTACATGGTGTGCTCTTTGGAATATTTGAGTTCTGATACAGTGGCCGAGCGGGTTCTCCCTCTCCCCTTACCTACTTCCCAGAGTGCCACCTTATCACTGCAAGGTGGGTTGCAGGCTCATGCAAGTGTTTTGCTCTCAGGATAATGAGCCACTCAATCCTCCCCGTGGCTGCTTCAGTCTGCGGCCCACAGCCTTTCTTGGTTGCATGGTTGTTTATATTGCTGGGTCTTCAGCTGTATTTCTCCCTTCTCAGTAACAAGGACCTCTGGCTCCCTGTTATACCCGACTTTATTCTAGCTGTAGGCTTCCATCACTGGTCCATGGGTTCAGGTCCAGTTCTCTCAGCCTTCACTGTGTCTCCAGTCTCTGGGCCCCTTGGCTCTGTCTTGCACCTTGCCCCAGCCCCCTTGGCCTTCCTGCCCTGGCATGAAGCTGCCCTTGGTTTTTCTCAGCCCCCTGGCATCCCTGATC